TGGACCGAGGGGAGTTGGGAGCAGGTACTGTGGCTCTGACAGAATCAGAGCAGGCTGGGCCTGTGGGCTGGAGCCTGTGGGCTACTCTGACCCAGTTCTCCTCACAGGTACTGCCTCCATCCTGAGCTGCCGGCCCCTGAAGGGAGAGCCCAGGGGAGGGTTTGAGGAGCCGGGTGAGAACTGTGCTCCTCCTCGGGAGGAGCAGCCCCCTCCAGTGCTGCTTTCTCCCTCCCTCCAATATGCTGGGGCCGAGACCCTGGCATCCAAAGTGCAGTAAGTACACAGGAGGTGGCCCCAGGGCCACTTGGGTCTCCATGATTTGCTCTCTCCTTTCCCACCTTGTTTTGCTAGTTCCTCAGTCTCCACCCAGCCCTTTCTCAGTGTGGCCCAGTGGTTGAGCATTCGCCTATGAACCAGGAGGTCACGGTTCAATTCCTGGTCAGGACATATGCCCGGGTTGTGAGCTGGATTCCCAGTAGGGGGCATGCAGAAGGCAGCTGATCAATGATTCTCATCATTGATGTTTATCTCCCCCCCCTCCCTTCCTCTCTCTGAAATAAAAACATTTTTTAGAAAGTGTAGTTGGAGCAGGCATATTAAAAAGGGTTGTCAGGGTAGATATCATTAAGGTGAGATTTGAGCAAAGGCTGGAGAAGAGGTGAGGGAGTTAGCTGAGCAGGCATTGGGACGAAGGCCATTTAGAATAGAGAGAACAGCTAGAGCCAGTCCCTGTAAAGTAGAAGTGATTCCTAGGACTAGCAAGGCCCGTGTAGTTGCAGTTAGGAGAGGTGACTGTGGCCAGAGGCCTCACCACCCTATTTCTGCTTTTTGCCTGACAGATTTCGGGACCCCAAATTTCAGCGGACACACCAGGCCCAGGTGGCGTTCCAGGTGTGTGTGCGCCCTGGCTCCTACACCCCCGGCCCTCCTTCCGCTATCCTCAGAGAACCTCCTGACCCTCACTTCAGCCCAGCCGAACTGGAGTGGGTAACCAAGGAGAAGGGGGCCACACTCCTCTATGCCCTGCTGGTACGGGTGGAATGAGGGAGTGAGACCTCACTACGACAAGCACAGTTGGGCCTTGGGCCCGCGGACTCTGAGTGACGACGGCCTCCACCTCATTCCAGTGACCCACAGCATGCACGGTGCTCATTCTGGCAGAGGCACAGGAGCATGGAGGCGGTCTCAGATTTAGGTGGGAAGTGGAGTCCATCTCCATGTCCGGGGCCTCAGAACACTCCCTCTGAAGTGGAGGAGCTGGTGGGGAACCCGGCTCCAGGCCCTGGGTAACCCCTCTTCATGCACTGATTTGGGGAACACGACTCCCTCTGACTCCCTCCCCTGTATCACTTAATTTATTTCCGTTTTTGTTCCTGGTTACTGTGAATCCCAGAGGAGTCTCCCTGTGCCCCACATGAAGCTGCTTTTTCCTGTGGCACCAGGCAGGAAAGGGGAAGGGCGGCGCAGTGGAGGGGCTGGGTCCTCTGTACAGTTGTCATGACTCTGATTTCGAAGGAGCCAATAAACACCGTCTCTGAGCACCTGCGTCGCCTCTTGCACTTCCTAAGGGGGTTCCTGGCCCGCCTCGTCGGGCCCAACCGCGGGGCCGGAATGGGAGTCCAGGGCTGGTCGGCGTGGGGCGGGCCCAGTGGAGGAGTTTGGACGCCACAGGCACCCGTCCTCGACACTTCCGCCTTTTCCTTCCGCCCAACCCTTAAAGCCCCTGATGTGAACCCGGAAGGATTAAGCCCAATTACCGGATGTGACGTATAGCCAAAGCGCGCAGTAGGGAGCGAAGCGCGGAGCAAGAGGGTAGGGAGGGGCCGGGGCCGGTGGGGCCGGAGGCGAGAGCCCCGAGG